TAGCTCGCACATGCGCTCCAACACACGTGTGCGCGTGTGAGTGTGTGTGTGGGGCACGCTCGCACGTGTGCTCTGATGCATGTGAACCGGGTTGAACCAGATGGGAACCGATGATTCCACTCTAGAACCGGACTGAACCGGATAGAACTGGATGGGAACCGACAGTTCCACTCTAAAATCGGGCGGTTCCCGGTTTTTGGTTGGAACCGACACGAGCACGCGTGTTTTCGAGTCGAACCACGCGAGTCCGGTTCGACTCGCCGTTTTTTAAAACACTGATAAAAAACTATTCTCTCTCTAGAAACTCAATCTCTCTCTCAAAAAACCCATTCTCTCGCTCTAAAAATCCGATCTTTCTTTCTCTCTCTAAAAACCCACCCTCCTCAAAAACTCAATCTCTATCTTAAATCCCATTATCTCACTCTGTAAAAATTTATTCTCTCTAAAAATCCAATCCATCTCCCTCTAAAAATCCATTCTCTCTCTAAAAACTCAATTTCTAATTCTCTCTAACAATCTATTCGCTATCTAGAAACCAATACCCTTCTAAAAACGCATATTTTCTCGAGAAACCCAATCTTCTTTTCTCTCTCTAAAAACACATTCTCTCTAGAAACCCAATCTCTTTCTCTATCTACAAAGCTTCTCTCTCTAAAAATCCAATCTCTCTTTCTCTCTGTATAAATCCAACCACTCTTCCTCTCTCTAAAAACCCAATCTCTCCTCTCTAAAATCTCAATCTCTCTCTATTTAAAAACCCAAATATCTCTTTTTCTCTAGAAACTTAATATTTTTTTAAATTTTCTAAAAAATATTTTTAGCTTACTACAAACCAAAAAAGTTTGAAGAGTGAAATAAAAAAAACTAAAAAAGGAGTTCTTAATGGACCAGACCGGTCCCAAGCCCAATATATTCTTTTCAAGTTGGGTAGCGTTGGGCCGGGCCAAGCTTTGATAGTACATATTCAGGGGCAAGGAGAGTACACTTTTCGGACTGGACCAAAGTATGTTTGAGCTTTGCCGAGCCTTGGGCCAGCCCGGCCCAATAGCAGCCTTCCTTACACACCAGCCCCCAATTATTTTGAAAGAAATTAGATTCATACCTACATAGGTATAGGTATGATTCCAATTTTTTAGATTTTAGACACTCTTGATGGAATTAATTTTATAGTTAAAAAGATATCTTACTCTTGTGACAAACCAAACATAAGAAATTACTTATTTTTTAAGAAAATAATTTTTAAAAAATTATTTTCATAACCAGACGTGCCCTAAATGTTAAACTAAATATGGAAAGTACAAACTATAACAACATCAATAGGTCTCTACAAATTACAAAATCATCAATAACTGTGGCATCAAAACCTATTGACTACTTCCAACTGCTCTCCAACGCATCTGCGTCCTTGTTCTTTTCTCTAAATATATGTTTTTTTTTGAGAAATTTTTCTCTAAGTATATGTTCGGAGCTCATCTCTTTTCCGAGAATGGGTCTAAAGTACTGGAGGTCAGGTGCCTCAACATAACGTCTTAAGCTCCATTTCGATAGTTGACATCTTTCCCCCCCCCCCCCTTCTCCCTTACTCTACTACTACTACAAAAATAAAAATAAAAATAAAAACCAAAAAACAAAAAGCGAGAAGGGCCTCATCATTCCTTTCACCGAAACTACTCCATCGGGAATTGGAATCAAATGACAACGTACTTTCCATAATGAATAAAAAATTGTAGATAGCAAGACAAGCTTGATACTGGGTAAAACAATGGAGGATTAAGCACATTCAAGGCAGGCCATATACTCCCATATTTACAACAAATTGAGGCACTGAACTACAAATAACTAGAACTTAGACCTTTTTCTGTTCTTTTCCAAGCAGGGTCGGTCAAATGTAGCAACTATTTTCCGCATTTTTCTTTCTTTTTCACACAAATCAGAGGGGAAAGGATCCCCTACTAGTTCTCAAAAGAGCAAAACACAGTAGATACAAAGTATTTTCCGCATTTTTCAAACAATCACGGTTTAAAAAGATGTAATAAACATGTACAGATACTAACCAGTGTGGTCAAAAAATAGAATGTCATGTTTTGTGGTTCATCTAAACTAGACATAGCATGAAAAGTTCGATCATTTCAAACACCACGGCTACACATACAAATCAGGCATAACAAGGCCTTAAGAGGAATAATTAGAAATAATTACATAAGAAATACATTTACATATGATCATTTAAACCACCTTTAATGGGGGGTTTCTCTTCATCACCATCCATCATTTCATGGATAGGGACACCACAAGGACTATGATCTTTCCATAATCCTTATGATTGCAGTATTCTCCCTCTTTTTCTCTAAATTGCCCAATGGCCTACTAACCAAATCGGCAGCCCTTTTTTGACCAGCTCCTTCCCCCGGCATTGTCCAAGTGCTCTTCATTTTCAGTGAGAACAAAACTAAGAAGCTATTTCAGGCGTAAGAGATGCCTTCTATGCGCAATCTTGCAAGAACTACCTATATTACTCACAATATGGTAATGGCACAAAACAACTTTTGGTCTTATGACTTCCCTGGTGCATTTATGAGGATCTCTCTAACCCCATCCACAAATATGCCAAATTTACCTGCATCTAAAAGCGACAATCTAGAGCTTGACAATTTTTCACTGACTTCCAAGAAAAAGAAACGTAGAGCTTGACAAGCATGATTTTCGCTTATCATCTCTGATTCTGCCGATACAGATGAAAGATCCCGCCATGACTGATAATAAGACCTGTTGAAATAAATAAATACCAGAATATCAGAAACTTGGCCTTCGATTCAGAACAGTAAGAAGAAAAGAAAAGGATGAAAAGAGTGCGCTAACCATCGCCAGGCAGGATTAGCCTCAACGGGGCAACTTATCTTTGATGCTAACATCTTGAAGACCCTTGTAAACATAACATTACCAGAGTTTGGATCTGTTCCAAGGACAAAAACAAATTAGGGAAAAGTTTATATAGAGCCTAGGCTCTAAACAATCAAATTAGAGACTACCTCAAAACTTTCACTCGAAGAGGTTGTTTTGATGCTCAAATATCATCAAATTGATCATTTTGACATCAAGATGCATGAAGATGAGGAAAAAATGGATTTCAAGTATTGAAAAAAGTGCATCTTGTAACGTATTTTTGGACCGTTAATTTTCAAGACTTTCAAGTTTTCATAGATCTGCTTAATATACACTAGTTCTGAAGCTTTCAATTTTATGACTAAAGATGAAAATATAATTTAAGGCTATCACAAAACTTTTCAGTATTGAAACCATATTTCTCGACATTATTTGAAGGTGGGCTCTAATTTGATTGTTAAGAGCCTCGGTTCTATACAAACCACACCCTAAAAATTAATGGTGTATCTAGAAAGACTCCATTGTAAGCATAACTTATCTTTGAGGCTAACATCTTGAAGACCCTTGTGGACATAACATTACCAAAGTTTCGATCTGTTCCAATGACAAACAAATAAAAATTAATGGTGTATCTAGAAAGTACTCCATTGTAGACTTAGCGGATGGTTGATTATTATCCATACATAAACATGACTTGCTGAGTCCAACTATCCAAACTGAACGTACATCTGAGATGTTCAGTCAAATGGCCTGCAGTCCATCCAATTTAAGCAACCAAAATTTTGGTGCTACATTTGGCCACATAATATTGAAAAAACTCCAACAAACTTGCCCCTACTAATGGAATGCAAATCTGATACTCACAAAGAGTTATCTACCACTAACACATATTATATTCCTCAAATTTTAATGGGAACATGGCATAACCTTCATTGATCTGCAGAAAAATTTAGTGCGTTTATAATTCTGTACAGGCATTTGTGGCCCATCTCCCTCCATCTTGTTAGGTACAAATTAGTGTAGCCATTCTATATAAAGGCGTGGGGTCCTTCAGTCATTTTCATACTGGATTTCCTTTTCACTCGTTAATTTATGGTTAGTTACGCTTGTCATATCCCTAAACCGAGCAATGGCTCAGTAACTTTCTACATCACAGAGAATCTGCAATTTATCTCTTGGGGGAGCGTAAATCACAGAGAGAGAGAGAGAGAGAGAGAGAGAGAGAGAGAGAGAGAGAGAGAGGAGGAGGAGGAGGTAGTACGTACGTACGACGTACGTACGTACGTAGTACGTAGTACGTACGTACGTACGTAGTAGTAAGTAAGTACGTACGTAGTACGTAACGTAACGTAACGAACGTA